AAACTTCAGCAGTGCTTCAGTTGCACTGAAGTTAATATTTGTAATAATGTCATAAGTGTGGAAAAAAAAACCACATAAAATCTAATCTTGCCTTATTTCAGTTGTGAGGGAAACTTATTAAAAAAGAAGTAGAACTGAGAAGCAGGTGCTTAATTTCACATGCAATTACAGTGCATGATTTGATTCTTTGGAAGACTTTTTCTAATTTTCTCCTCTTCCTTTGCACAGGATGCCTCACCAAGAGTCCCTGGAGGATCTCCTAGGACACCAAATAGATCTGTAACATCCAACGTCGCCAGTGTTACACCTATCCCTGCTGGGTCCAAAAAAATTGATCCCAACATGAAAGGTACTTTTTTCTTTTTGAGGACAAGAATTAATTTGGGGAAGTACCTTTCTTAAGTATGCTTATTTAGCATAACCGAAATATTGAATTGCTATTTATCTGGACAATGTTTGGATGTTTTTTGTCTTCCCCCCCACTCCTGTCTCCTTGTAGCTGGAGCTACCAGTGAGGGAGTCCTGGCAAACTTCTTCAATAGTCTGTTGAGTAAGAAAACTGGTTCCCCTGGTGGCCCTGGTGGTGTTGGTGGCAGTCCTGGAGGTGGTAGCGCAGGAACTACTGGCAGCAATCTACCACCATCAGCAAAAAAGTCAGGTATGCTAAAAAGATCAGCTCACAATTTAGACTGAGCTGTGCATCATTCAGTGTAGTTTATCAGAAGTATCAGAAGCTATTACTTTTAACTGCATGTTTCATTGGATATGGCTTTTTATTCTCACAGTGATTCAGTATTGCCTGCCCTTCTTATGGCTCAGAGAATCAAAGAAAAACTTCTCTTGTAGCTGTGTAAGCAGCTTATGCCATAAGCGATCTTAATATTATTCAGATACACTGGGACTTCATTTCAAAGTGATGTGTATTTTTATCATCGATGTTAAAATGACTTCAATGCTTTTTAACTTCTTATACCTTTTAAACTTCCTTTTGCCTTTCCTTCTGATTTGATGAAGGTTTTGACTGAGTGACTTCAGCAGTCAATCAATTTAGTATTTTCTTTCGACAGCATGTTTAGTATTTATCCAAAATGTCTGATAGTGATTCCTTTAAAGCGAGATGCATGCAGGGCTGGGGAATAAGAGTTACGAGTGACCTAGAGGAGGGGCGGAGGGGGGAAAAAAAAGTTGTATTGCAAGCTAGGGTCAAGTTTAATTGTGAGTGTATAAATGTTTGTGCTATCCCAAGTTATGGGGGAGGTAAGCAGGTGAGGAGAGTGAGGGATTTGCCACCTGAAGGTGTGCACAGACCTTGAGCAGCAGTGTCAACTTCAGATGACCGAGTTCGTGGAACAGACTCTGGTCTGTGGTAAAACTCCTTATTTCTATTCAGAATTACTTCAAAATACAGCTGATACAGCAAATCGTTCAGAAGTGTTCATAATTTATAGAATACAGAGAAGTGTATTTTTTAGATTTTACATTAACTCTTCATATGCCCACAACTTTATATATAGTTATGGAAGTTACTTTGAAAAATCCGAAATACAGGATGTGACTATATTTCTTTTTTTCCTTTGCTGCTGATTTTTGGCCTTAGGCCTTTACTGCATGCTTTGGGTTGCAGAGTAACATTTCTAGGATTTGCCTGAAGCAATAACAGGTTGTTTTTTTCTTTGGCTTTTTTTGTTTGGTAGATTTGCAGATGCTTCTTGAGAATTGAAAATACAAAGTCTTCCCCAAAATGGTTTCATTAACATCACTGAGTGATGTGCATTTCTTTTGTAGGTCAGAAGCCAGTTTTAACAGATGTTCAGGCAGAATTGGACAGAATTTCACGAAAACCTGAAATGGTTTCTCCTACATCTCCTACGTCTCCCACAGAAGGTGAAGCATCTTGAAGACACCAAATAAAACCAATTGTTCAGTTTTCTGGGGTAATTCAAACCTGCCTCTGCCTCTTCCTTCAGTGACTGGAACTAAAGAACTGAAACGTCGTTTCAGAACACAAACAGTTTGTCTGTCTTTCTTTCATGTGTTGCCCAACTTTACAAAAGGGAGCTGTACAGGTGAAAAATGGTATCACATCACGTAGGACTACTGTTCACAGTGCAAGAATAGTAGATAAATTTCTGGGTTTTGTTAATAAGTCGGTGTAATTCTGTGAAACTGGCAATTATGTCCACTTACAGATAGAGGTTGCTTAGAGCAGGAAGCTGATACACACCACAGGCACTTAATTTATACTGATTTCCCAACTTATTAGTTGATTTTAATACCCTGTTAAGTAGAGCGTAAACTTCTAAAGGAGACAACTGCTACTAGTTGTTGGAAAATAAAATCACTTGCACAAAACTGTAACGACAAACTCCAAATATCCTTGAATGCTTGATTTGGAGCATGTTTGCAAATCTGTTTGTTTGATCTCCCCTGAGATCTGTACTGCATTCAAAAACCCATGCAAAAATTTCATTCCAGACTAAGATCTTAAATTAGTGGCCAGTTTTTTTGGTTGTTTTCTTTGATTAATTTCAGACACTGAATAAAAGATGTACAAAGAAAAAGCAGAGGTTAGATGTACAGATTATCAGTATCCAGATTTGTCTATATATATATGGCTCAGCCTTAATGTTCCCCACTATGTTTCCCATATTAATTATGGTTTAAGATTGGTCATCAAAACTGTAATCAGTTAATAAAGTGTTCTCTGCATTCAAATTTAAGTAACTTTCATTGAAGCCATGGTGTTCTTTGTTTACAGCTAAATTTGAGGATGTATGTAAAACATCTTAAATTACACTTTATCTTGTACCTCTCTTTGAATAGTACCACTGGTAGAGATTTAAACTTCCTAACAGCACTGTTTCTGGGAGGAACTGGATAAAAGTCTGCTGTGTTTGTTGCTAGCAGTAAAACTAGCTTCTCAGACTTGTGTGGGTTCTGCTGCAAACACACTAGTTACACCAAGAATCCTGCTGATGACTCCAACATGTTAGAATGGCCTGGGTTGAAAAGGGCCATAAAGATCATCAAGTGTTGTATTAGATAGCTGACCAAGGTCAGGGCTTCAGCTTTCAGTACACAAATGCTGAGCATCCCTTCACTGTTCTGTTTCAAGCTTATGGGCTTTTCCTACTGATAGCCACAGAATATTAAGTGTAAAAAGTATATCCCAATCTAATAATTACCAAGTAACTTAAATGAGTTTAAGGTTTTGTGGTTGCTTTTTTTGTTTGTTTTGTTTTGTTTGTTATTTGTTTTGGATTTTTTAAATAAAGCCTTAATTTCTCCAGCTTGTTTAGGAAACTTCTAAAGGCTCCTGATGAAGGAGTACATCTTCTGTATTTTGAATGCGATGCTAGTCATATTAAATTCCAAATTAGGTTTGCTCCCAATGAAAAAGATTGCAACCCAACAGACTGATAACTACATTCCAGGTGTATAAGTAGAAATTTACAGTTAGTACGGTAGCTAGTCCATGTAACTGAGAAGTCTCATATACATTTCAGAGACTGCCATGTTTTCAGCTGAAATGTAAGAACTGCCTGGAAATAGTGATCTTTTACCCCAAATTTTCAAGCTTAAAATTTGCAGAGCAGGTTTATTACAACCCTCAAATCAAAGAAGTTATATAAGAATGCAGAGGAAAGGAAATCCCCTAAAAGAGTTTATTTTGTTGGCAGTTGGTTCCTTAACTACACAGGTTTAGCTCTGAAAGTGCAAAGTAACTTCTTTATTGTGTAGTGGTTTTGCAGTATTCATACTGCGAAACATTTTGAAATACTGCTTTATGAAAAATCATCATCTGCTCTTCTTGTGTGCTAGGCCAAAGTAACACTAAAGGTATTAAAGGCATGCAGGAGTGATTAGAAAAGCAATTGATGTTATTGGTGCTGTTATTCCTTGTAGAACTGAAATCATTGCGCATCTCACAAGCCTACAGTGTAGGGCATGGAAGAACAATAATGAATAAGGAAGAGGTATCCTTTCCAAGCATCCTTTCATTGTTTTCACCAATGGGTGGCTTTGGTGCGCGCAAGAAGTGGAAATAGCCCTCTGTCACAAAGCTTCTTGCTTTGCACGCTGCTTCTGGTAAATTCCACTTTCTTCGTCTGCTGTTGTCAAAGCTGTCCAACCAGCATAAACAGGCTGTAGATAGTGATGGCAGCCTAAAGGGAACTTAAACTTGAAGTAGGCAGGCTGGCTACTTGGATGCTGTTGAATAGAAAGGCCAGGTAGAGAAAGTCCTTTCTTAGCCTTTTTGTAAAAAGTAATAATAATAAAAATCTTTAAAAACCAAACAGCTAGCAGTGGTTAGGGAGGTAATATATTTAAAACTTTTAAATACACAGAAGTGACTTTCTGTTTCTAGAACTTCTTTTTATGAAGTGAAATTTGAATGAGTCATTAGTAAGGTTTTCCCCGGTCCCTGCCTCCACAGAAGAAGAATAAAAGGCAAACCATCTAGTTTGATGGCTTCTAATATATTGTCTAGCTTTCCCAGTATTCTGACGGTGATGCATGCCCTGCATCCCTGATGGGAAGCTTATCCCACCACACCTTCCAGGTCAATTCACTCCATGCAGTTGTTCATCAGCAGGTCATGCATTTCTCCATGTGTCACCTTTGCTGAATCACCTCTGAAGGCAGAATTGTAAGTACTGCAGTTGGAGCAATTGATTGATGATTAGCGGTCCCTATGTGCCAGTCCACTATTCAGTATCCCGAATTAAACGTATTAAGTATGGCTAACTCTTTAATGAGAAAGTATGTTGTCCCTTCAGCAGATTGAAATAAAACAAATAAAATTCTTGTATTTTGAAATAATACTACTTAATTTGCAGTTGTAGAATCATTAGCTGTCAAATACCTCATGGCTTTAGGATTCTTTTTATGCAGATGCATTGCAGAAAACCAGTAACAAGAGTTATTCTAGCCCAGCATTTGGGAAACATGGAGAGAGTTGAGCATTTTTTTTATTTTTGTGCCACGAAGGCTACTCAGAAATAACTCTTAGAAATACCAATTCCTGATCTTTGGCTGTTTAAAAATCCCACCTTGGGGCTAGTTAGTACAGTGTTCAAGCTTTGTGAAGTTCAGCTGCAACACTGAGCCCAGACATAGAGCCTTTGGAGCTGAGCAAGAGGCAGGAGATGCAACATGTGCAAGTCTTGTCTGAGTTTGTCTGCTCATCGCAGTCCTTGCTTTGTGATTCCCATGGCTAGCTGGTCATCTCACGCAGAGAACTTGTGTGAAAGAGTGCTGTTAGATGCCTGCATGGGAACTGAAACCAGGGGAGAGTCGTGCCTATAACTGTGGAGTTTCTGTGGAGTTTCCCAACTCGTTCTGTGGTGATCTGCCTCACCACTCTTCAAATGAAATGGAGCCTGCGCCTCACCACTCTTCAAATGAAATGGAGCCTGCCTCCTTTGGCGGTTTGGGCTTTTAAATTGTTTTCCTATTCTTGTACTTCCTTCTCTTTTGCCCTCATTGAAGGAAAGTAAAAAGAATTGTATTTGTGAACATGGGAAAATGAGAATTCATTTGTGAGAAGTCAGGTCAAGGGAGTGAGCCTTGCTGCTAATCTTGACTGTGTAGGATTTATGTTTCAGCTTAATCTGGGTAATTCTGTAATACAGTATGAAGCTAGTTCCAAAGGTCTACTGGGGCTTCACTTTATAGAAACTGGGATGATACTTGGCCTGTACTCACCATATCCCAGGAGCTGATATTTATTCAACTGCTTTGTCACTCCAGTCACACTTCTTTTGTAAATTTTTTCAATGCGGTGAGGACTGATATCCATGTTATAAAGCTATACTGATGTAGCTTTCTCCATTTAATAGGTACTGCTTTATGGTCACTGTGGTGGTTATCCTTGGAGAAGATGTAATGCGGGAGAAAACTAGGTCACTCATCACTAATCTGCTCCCACCAACCTCCTACTCCTTGGCTGAGTGGAGATGTTGTGGCAGTTTACAATCTAATTCCAGGACTGCTTTCTGCTGCAGTGTCCTGCTTTAAGCTCAGGCTCTGCCATTCTGGTAGAGGTTGCATGAGTAGAAAAGACTTTATTTTTTGAAAACTCTGTCAGTACATAAAGAGAAGAAATTGAGTAAGATACCCACCTGGAATGGGATTTCTATTACATCACAGCCAGCTAATAGCAGTTGTTGGCATTAAACAGACATTATGTATCACTACTACTGTTTTGATCTGCATTCCCTCTTTAAAGGGGAATGAAGTTTAAAGCTGTACTTGAAAGACAGTTTTAGTGAAAAAGTAAAGAACAGCTCTGGTTTGTGTGCATAGCAGCATTTGCATGTTTTAACAAAATGCTGCAACTATTTTTAAGATATTTTGTCCTATGCTGTCTGGTTTTCATTCCTTCTCTGCTACAGATCTTTGTGGTTGTTTTGCTTTCCATGTGTTGCCTTATAAATAAAAAAAAAGCAGCCTAAATAATCTAGGATTTAAATGGCAAGCCAGCTTTTACACTTCCTGCTGAAGGCCTGAGCAGAAAAAACAAATCTGAGAAAACAGCAGTAAGTAGGAAAAGGTTACAATATATTTTATCTTTAGTCAACTTTGTGTAGTTTTTCTATTGGTCCTTGAGAAGCAGCTCCTCTCAAGAGTTGTCCTCAGCAGTAACATCTGTGTTTATCCTTTTAAAAGGCTGTCTTAGGACAAGGGTAACAAGACTGGGAGCAGCTACAGGTATCCTTAGATGGTACTAAATACTTACTAAGAACTCACAACTGCTTCTGTCTGCCTAAGCCCTGTCTCCCTCAGACAAAAGTAGTCTCACCACATAGGACATGTTGTGGTCATTCAGCCAACTTTGAAATATAAACACGAAATAAAACAAAATTGGGAATTCCTTTAGAAAAGGCCTCTGTAATACAACCTTCCTTACAGCCTACTAATGTAAAAACCGCGATGAAAGCACAGCAGTACTCTGGATCCATAACAGTAAATATCATTCACTACACTTACCTGCTCAGCCCTGCACTCCCAGGATGCTGTATGCATAACTGTAACGTCCCAGCCCCCAGCAGAAGCTGTGGTGCACTCATGGCAATACCTTCCTTATTTCACTGGGAACTCCTGTGCCTGAGGAATCACATGGTTTGCCGACTCACTTGCCTCTAAAGCCAGCTCCTGCAACATGCACTGTTTATGGCACAAACACACCTGCACCACCCAGCCCAGGGCTCCCGCAGTGTTCCTCTGGGTTGTGTTTTCCTACAGGGAGGGATGCCATTTACAGCCCGCTGGCAAACAGTAGCCCAGAGCACACCCCACTGCCTTTACCTGCTCTGCACTGCGTCAGCTGTCCAGGCGTGGTGGCTCCCAGCAGGCACAGATGGTGCCTGATCTCTCAGTGCTGCTCACATGTCCTGCACTGCTGGGCTGAGACGGGCAGTGTGACCATTCACTTGGCTCCTTCACACAAAGCATGAGTAGAATTAAGGTCGAGAAAGCAAACTGCTGCTTTTCTATCAGTAGATCATACTTAGCAAAGTATATCTGAATTTGACTGTGAAGGACCATAATAGTTCTGTGGATAATAGGCTCATGAAAGTCAACGTGGTACACTTTTGCTTATATACAAAAGGCTTCATCTATTTCCTCATGGCACCAAGAGCTGTAGCTGCCTATGAAATCAGGTGTGGGCAGAGGTACGGCAGCACGTTAGAATCACAGAAGAGAGTTGGAAGGGACCCTTGAAGACCATCGAGTCCGACCACGGCTCCACACAGCACAACCCAAAATCCAAACCCAACGCCTAGGAGCGCTGTCCGAACGCTCCTTGAGCTCCGGCTCCTGTGGCCGCGCCCACCGCCGGTGAAAGTTCACAGGGATGCGTCCCAGCTCCCATGCAAAGGGCGGCACACGGGGCCGTCGGGCCCCCTCAGGGCGGCTCTCCGCTGCCCGCCCCTCTCCCCGTGCGCGGGGCCTGCAGGAAGCGCTTTTGTTTCAGCGTCGACGGGCGGGGCGCTGCCTCCTCCTTCCCGTTCCCGTTCCCTGCCGCGCTGCTCCAGCCGCCGCCCTTTTGCTTTCGCTTCTTGCCGGCTCGGCAGCGCGGCCATGGAGAACGGCGGCGTCTACAACGAGACCACCGAGCCGCGGGCCAAGCTGCCCCTCCGCCGCCGCTGCGGCTGCACCCTGCGGCACCTGCGGGGCTGGCGGCTGGCGCACAAAGCCCTCCAGCCGGTGAGTGCCCTGCGGGCGCGGCGGGGCGGGACGGGACGGGACGGGGCGCGCTCCTTTCTCGCGTCCCGGCTGAGGCGAAAGGCCGCCGCCAGCACGGCTCTGCTGCTCGGTGCCGCGGTTTAGAATCCTAAGGGCAGCGCTTTCTGCAGAGGGCAACGGGGGTGAAAGAGGAGGTGGGAACCCTGCTCCGAAGCTCGGGATACGGCCGTGGACTTGGCTGCAACTCACACACCCCGGCAGTGCCTCTCCTGCCTCCTGTAGAGCATCGCACGCACTGATGGTGACGGTCCGGACGGCTGAGACGCTGCTTCTCAGCGGGCGGTCCCGGTGAAAACGCAGGCTCCGCTTTTGCCTGTTTGTTGTCATGTTTTGCGTGCCTTCAGCACGTGGGCGCCCGATTCACGCTGCTGTCTGTCCAGCGGTGCTGGTAACGGTGCAGGGAACAGATAGGGGAAGTACTCGCAGTACGGCTGCTGACTGTAAGTGTGTCGGTGCTGTTTTCCGGCGAAGTGGCTGTTCGGTCAGATGTCTCATGCTCGGAGGAATCATAGGTAGTTTCCAGCCCTCTCTCGTGTGCTCACTGTGCAGAAAAGAGGACATTCTGTTTTTAAACTTTGGCTCACACAGAGTCAAAAGGAAAAGAAAGGTAAAGGTAAGACTAAATGCTGCCAAAAGCAATGTTTTCTTAATAGCATTTTTAAAACATCATGTCCAAGAATACTTTAAATAGACGTAACAGGATGCAAGCTTTTACTTTGTCATTTAGAGATTGATTGATTAAGTAAGATCTGCTAGCTGTTGCTCCCAAACAAGCAGATCATTTATATCAGCAGTGTGATAGAATAGAATAAAATATTACACGTGCAACTTCACCAGTGTACTGAAGTCTTCAACTTGTTACCTGAGCAGAAACATTGCTTAAAAAGCTTTCCAGGTAGGAGAAAGGGAAGTTACAATGGGCCTGTCCTAACCATGATGAGTAGCTGTTTGATAGGCTCCAAAAGTAGTTTGTGATCTATACTTGTCCCACAACGAGAGGAAAAAGAAAACTGAATTACGATCATTCACTCTTCTGATTTCTGACAAATTTTCTCCTTCCTTTTGTTTCCATTTATCAAAATGCACTGCTCTGGAGTTCTTGGTCAAAGCATTTAAAAGAAGCACCAGGAATTACTGAGGGTGGAATCCTCAGTATCCCCAGTAAGAGAAATGTTTTAGGAAGGATTTTTGGAAATCCCTGTAATTTAGCTAATATTAGCATCTATTAGCTGTCTGTTAAAATAGGGATTCTTTGTTATTTTGGGGGTTACACACTGATTATCACTGGGGTGGACAACTAAATAGGGTGTTGGTTTCAAAAATCACCCATCTTTGTTACAGAATAGAATAATAGAATCCTCAGACTTTTAAGGGACCTTTAAAGATCACATAGTCCAGCTCTGCTGTTCTGCCATGAACACCACAGCTAGATCAGGGTGCTCAGGGCCTGACCCAGCCCGGCCTTGAAAGTTTCCACCACATCACTGGGCAACCTGTTCCAGTGCCTCAGCACCCTCACTGAAAAAGACTTTTTCCTTATATCTAACCTAGATCTTCTCTCTTTAAGCATGAAACCATTTCCCTTTGTTCTATCGCCACAGACCCATCTAAAGAGTCTGTCCCCTTCTTTCCTGTAGCTCCTCTTTAGCTACTGAAAAGCTGCTCCCAGGTCACTTTGAAGTCTCCTCTTCTCCAGGCTGAACAGCCCCAGCTCTCAGCCTATCCTTACAGGGAAGGTGTTCCATTACTTGGATCACTTTTGTGGCCTTCCTCTGGACATGTTCCAGCAGCTCCATGTCTCTCCTGTACTGAGCACTCCACATTTGGATGCAGTACTCCAGGTGAGGTCTCACCAGAACAGAGCAGAGGGGAAGGATCACCTCCCTCACCCTGCTGCCCACACTTCTTTTGATGCAGCCCAGGATATGATTGGCTTTCTGGGCTGCAGGGGCACACTGCTGGTTCATGTTCAGCTTCCCACCCATCAGTACCCCTAGGTCCTTTTCAGCTAAGCTCAATCCTTTCGTTCCCCATCTTGTATTGGTAATAGGGTTTGCCTTGACCCAGGTGCAAGACCTTGCACTTGGATTTGTTGAACCTCATGAGATTCATCTGGGCCCACTGCTCAAGCCTGTCGAGATCCCTCTGAATGGCATTCTATCCTCCTGTCCCTCTGGTGTGTTGACTGCACCCCACAGCTTGGTGTCATCCACAAACTTGCTGAGGGTGCACTCGACCGTGCTGTCAATGTCATTGATGAAGTATTAAAGAGTATCAGTCCCTGCAATGATCCCTAGGGGATACCACTTGTCACTGATCTCCATCCAGACATTGAGCCATTGACTACCATTCTCTGGACTTGATCCTGCAGCCAGTTCTTTGTCCATTGAACAAGAAGGTCAAGTATTTTATAAAATACTGTGAAATCACCTGCAGAAAACTTCTTTCTAGGTGTGGGTTTCTAGATTGCTGTTTTGTTTTACTTTTACTATAGCTGGATTGTTTTGTTGTTGTTTTTTACTCCATGATTGGTTCAAATTCAGCACTAAGTTAAATGTCACGGTGCCTATTGTGCCATGGTTGAGGTAGAAATGAGTTCTCATCTAAAGCAGTAGTATTTCTTATTAGCAGTTATTTTGCTTTAAAAAAAGTACCTTAACCAGAAAGGAAAACTGTAATTCAGCCTCAATCTGCTATTTGTCCTGAACTGTTTGCTTCCTATAGTAGCCCTCACCTTGGAGCAGTACAGAACTAACATATGTGCTTTTCTAAACTGGAAGGTTTGTGCTGGGAATACCACTGCTGCTTGCCTGCTGGCAAGTTCATTGATTTACTTTAAATTTGCAGCATTTCTTTGTGACCTTTTCTTTATTAAACCCACCTGAGAAACGTGACATTTGTGCAGAAGCTTGCAGTAGCAGTAATGTCAGTGTTGATGAAAAACTTCTTGCTGGCAAAGGGCAGAGGAAGATATTTATTTTCTGTAGGAGAGGGAGGGAAGGTGGGAGCTGCCTGTTTGTGTCTTAAAGTGTGACCTTGGTCTTCAGTGCGAAGGAAGCTCTGTCCCATAGGTTTACCTGAGCTGCCGCTCTCTGCTCATTGCTGACAGCTTGGAGGAAAATAGTTGTTGATATTCTGTCCATTTACTGCTTGGAAGTCTCCATAGGCACAGTGTGGAGAAGGCAAATGTGAAACTAAAGCAAAGGACAAGTCCCATAAAAGACTCCAGTTGATCAATCCTTTTAATTTTTATTTTGACATGGAACCCCTTTAAGTACTCTTTGAATGTGATTTTCTCTCCCTTGCTTGTACACTCAGCCAAGAGGTTGTTTTTTTTTTTCTCAGTTACGGTTACCTGGGATACTGAAGTCTTCTGAGGGCAGGTTTCCAGAAAGGCTTTTACTTTCCTTCTCGTCTGTTTTGTTTCTGGTGAAAGTGATGGCTGATATAAAGAGTGCTGATATAAAGGGGTGGAAATCTAAATCGCAGAAGAGAGGGGAAGAAAAATAAAAACGTACCTCCTATTTTAGCTCACCTTGCAAAGAATGTGAATTAGTCATTGGACACAACTATAAGCTGTGTAAGTAATCTTTTGATTATTTTTTAAAAAAACTCTCTAAAAATTGGAAATTCAGAGCTTGATACGTTCCGTGGGCATCCATTGTAATCACTGATTTAGGTGTGAGTGTTCCTGAGCAATGTGCCTTTGCCAGCAGCTGCATGAGGGAAGGGAAGTATGCTGAGGCCTGATTGTAATATGCAGTTTCCCACCTCCAGTTCTTTCCCTTTCTGAGATCCTGTTTACTTTATACATGATTGTGTATTCAAAATACAATGGTTTGAAGTGCCCTTCTGAGGTGTGACTTAGTTGGTAGAATGTGTGGTTCTCATGTGCTAAGTTGCTTTTCTTATTTTTACTGTCAGAAAGCCGAAACCGAGGACAGATAATCATTTTCCAAAATAAGGTGCAGATAAAGCACCTGCAGCTGTTTTTACATGCCATATCTGGAAAATGACAATTCTAAATTCTAGAATTCGGTGTTTTTCATAGAACTGACACCCTCCCACATGCTGTTATTAATAATGTGATCATCCTTGCATCACTCTTGATTTTATGACCGACTCTGGTTCCTAATCATTGCTTTGCTCTAATTTGCTGAACTCTTTACTGCACGGATCCATATCCTGTGTCATCTTTACAGGATGAAGAAAACCAGCGAGAAGTGGCCACAAGGAGGGATTATTTAAATACAGCAATATTCTTTCCTGCACGAAAAAGTAGCAGAAAATCCAACAGCAGATGCATGACAGCTGTATGGGAATTAATTCATGCTGCATCATCAAAGAAGGACAGTTGCAGGAAGGCTAGCATAAGCTTCTGCACAGATTAAACATTGTCCAGCATAGCTTAAACGTAGCTTAAACTTTCTGGTTCCTGCAGTTGAGCTGCTGTTGTTACAGGGTTCTAAGTACACAAGCTACGCTTTCTGTGAAGTTGATCAAGAGAGGCAGTTGGCTGGATCAATGTATTTGATTTCTCCTCTGCCCCAAACCGAAGTGCATTTAAAATTAAATGCATCTATAAGTGGTAAGCAGTAGAGTTTGTGCTTCTCATCTGCCTGGTTTGCTTCCTGCTGCCTCCTGCACAGCATCACAAATCAAGAGTCTTTACTTTCTAACCAAAAAGCGAATTTGGCAGCATGTGCTCAGCTTAACCGAGTGTCGTTCACTGCCTGACTTTAACATCAAGACAAAACTGTGTCCCTATATTTCTGCATGTAATAAAATAGAACAGAATTTTATGGGGTTCTTTTTAAATCCAGTGTTTTCTTACAACTGTCTTTATTACTATTGATATCAGAGGCATTCAGACATTCATTTGTTAAAGATATTGATGAGACTTGGTACGATTGAAGTATGTTATTTGTTTGCAGGTCCTCTCTTTTCTGGCTGTTATTTTTGAAGAAATTGTGGAGGATTGTATCAACTGTCATGGGCTGTACTTCTTTGAATTTGTAAGCTGCAGTGCTTTTCTTTTGAGCCTCCTGATCCTGTGTGTGTATTGCACTATTGCATATGAAACGTTTGGGAAAGATAAAGTAAACAAAATGGTAAGGAATTTTATTTGTTTTAAATAAACCATTTAATGTAAGCTCTTCAAAACTGCTGTGGAATCAAAAGGCTGTGCAGAGTGAATCTCCTATTATTCTCCATTTAAAAAGTAGATTAAAGGAGGTTATATTACTTTGACTTTTTCAACTTTAAGAGTCTTCTTAATATTGACAGTTTTCCAAAATTGTCCTACATGCAGGATGTTAGGACTTGTGTGAAAGTCTTTCATAAAGGCTTCCACTATTACACTGTTATAATAGGTCACTCCAAAAGCAATGCCTCCTATTTATTTCCACGGAAACTACAACAGATACAAAGAGCTCAGTAACACTGTGAGATAGAGCAAATTCACTGCTAGAAAATGCCATTTGTCAGCTGTCATCCATGCATTTTCACCAGAGATGAACAAAAGCCTGCATGTCACGCTTGTAAAAAAAAAAAAAATAATAAAAAAAAATTGCACCAGTGGAGGTGACCTACTGTTGCTGTCACCACTGCTGAAACACACCATCCACCACCTCATTGTGCCAACATTTACTGTTTGGTCTCCATAAACATTCAGCAAGTGCCAATGAATGTCAATGGGTGCCATTTTTTCCACATGGAAGAATTCAGTTCCACCCCATTGCTTCAGATGCGCTCCCATGTCAGACACCTTTCTGTCAGACTGCCCCTTTGATGCCATCTGTCACATAGCAACAACACGTAATGGGATACTGGTGGGAAGGTTCAACCTCTGCTGCCATCCATCAACATCTGCCTGCCTCTGACCTTGTGGGTCATCATAATAAATTAGGAGGCATTACTTTCAGAGCAGCCTTCATATGTATGATATGGTTTTCTGCCAGCATGGTACTTGAAATCTGTCTGCAGTATCTGCTTTCCTACTGAGTGTAGCCTACCTCCTTTTTGATAATAATTGTGCTGGTTACTGCTCATGCTTTTATGTTTCAGAAGGTGCACTGGTGGCACGGTGTTGCTCTGTGAAGTCAGGAAGGCTGTTGTTTTTGGACTGTCCTTTCAGTGCAAGCAGTAACATTATCATGTGAAGATACAGATAAGAGAGTGTAGTCAGAGATTTGAATGAGCACCTTCACTTACAGGTTTCTAGTTTCCCAGATGAAATAATGCTAGCATGATTGACCTGCACTTGAATTTGACTGTGGAAAAAGGTTAAATGTAATGAGAGAAGTACTAAAAGAAGATTAAAGAAGAAAAAGGATTTTATAAAGTTGACTTTTAAAAATAGTTAATGATATTGAATGTTGGTTGGTAGTGAAATCAGTTTCCTGAATCTCCCACGAACTTCAGTGTTTCAAATTGTAAATTCATTGTCAGATTAACTTGGTTGCTGTTAGGATGTTTGTTTGTTTGTTTTCAGGTAGCATATCTACTTTTGTGTAACATTCATTTCTTTTATTTGCAGAACTTTTGGACCATGCTCATTATAGGTGCCTTTTTTCTAATAGCTTCAATAGTGCTTGCTGCAACTAGCTCTGGGTCTGCTTTTGAAAAAGCTGCTTGTGTAAGTCTTATAATGTATCATTTACTTTACATTTAAATTGTATCTTAATTTTTCTGCTCTTGAAACCTCACTCAGTTTGCAGGCAAGAAGCTGGGCAGGGAACAGACGTCAGAGCATTACGTTGTTTCAGGAAGAGAGAGCTATTTTGGAGCTTCTACAAACTGGAAAGCAGGCATTCCTTAGGACTTCTGCAAAGCTCTGTGTACTCTTGAGGTCCCCAGCATCTTCGTTCCTCGCTTAATTTTGCTCCCTTAGCTCCATACTCTTCCCTGTCCTCTGCCACTGTTGACAACACTGCCTTCTCTCACCACTCCCTGATAATCTCATCTCTGAAATGCAGATCAGCTGCATTTCCATAATATCTTCCAGTTGTAAAGTCAGCAAGCAACCATATCTTTTGTCAGGCATTATAAAACATATGTAGAGAATGCTGGCTTGTAAAGGTTGCGATAAGAATCACAGTTTCCTTAGTGACAGAAATAGAACAACGGGGCATGCATCTCCCGGGAACAATAAAGAGGCTCAGAGCAATGCACTGTAGAGGATTTGTGGCATAGTTTCTTACTTATTTGGCACTCTTTTTAAATAACCTTGAAATTGTGAGTATTTGAGTTTAAAAGATCAAACTTTGATTTTTATTCTTGAATGAATTAAAAATGGATTAGAAAGGAAAGTGAAATACTTCCACTCCATAGGCAGGATGAGCTATTGGATACGCACATTTTCGTGTGGTTCTCTGTTTTGACGCTGATATACTCATACCTCATGGTTTGAGTATAAAGGCTCCTCATTTTTTGCTTTTTTTAAAATTATTTTTGGCTGGAAAAACAAAGAAATTGTGATTTAAGACTTATTAGTGTCTAATTGCTTTGGGGAAAAACAGCTGCTTAAATTCAGTCAAAATGAGTGTAAATGTGTACATTTGATTCCTTGCTTGAAAGAAGGTGCTAAAACCAACCTTCTGCTTACCACTCTTCTGTTATGACTAATAATGAAACTTGTTATCCCTACTTACTGACCCAACAAGGCCTTGCTGAGGTTCTGCTGGTTTATCTCTCTTCACCTTTCATCTGTTACTCTTCTTTGCTTGGTCCTTCTAAACTGCATCCCTCTGTTGTATAACGGTTCTGCTATACCATCAATGCTATACTTCTTCATTAGTTTTACTGGGGAAAAAAAAGAATATATTTATATATTTATTTAGAAAATATTCTAGCATCCGTAGCTGGTTAAGAGAATGAGAACTGTAAAACCTTTTACGTTTTATATGCTACAATATGACTCCCAACCCATTGCCAATTTAAATGGAACCAATGACTTAATATATGAGCAGTATTAACATATCTCTCCAGACACTTAGAATACTGTCAATGTTTGTACATTTTTAATTCCTGTATTCCTTTCACTTTCATAGGTGTTTGGATTTTTTGCAAGTGGGGCATTTTTAGCTGAATTTATATGGGAACTTTGGTGCAGTCGGAAACAAAGCACTGAAGAATGTTCTGAAAATCCAGGCCACACTCAAGGTGCCACAGAAGATCAGCCACTGAATAAGCCAAGCTAAACTTTCTGAAATTAGTTCTTTTTTTTTTTTTTTGAGTGGAGCAAACTAAAACTAAGTTTCAATGCTCTGTAGGTAATAACTTCTGTCTCTTCCTTCTAATCAGTTTTGTGTGCGTTGTAAGTCACAAAAATTTAAAGATCTGTAGGCAAGTAATGACATCTTGAGCATTCTGCTTTATTTAATTTTCTAAGTAACTGGTCCTGCCACCTATTTAGGTGGCATGCATTAAAAAAAAAAAAAAAAAAAAAAGTGTAAATAGAATAACTGAAGGACAATAGTGTGCTGATTTGATTTTGGTAGAAGTGACTAATAAAGGGAAATATATGATCCAGAAATTCTTAGTTATGCTCTGAAGACATTTTCTATATTTCTTGGACCAGATACTTCTCTTACACGTTCCAAATTAGAAGAGCAGAATTTATTCTTATCGGTCAAGCAATAATGTAAGAGACACCTAATTGCAGCCTTACAAAAATTCTTATCCTTATGTAAGAGTGTGGGATTTTGTTTTTACTATTCAATCTCTTTCTTCAGTTCTGCCTGTGAGATCAGTTTAATGAAAGCATAGAGTTTTTATGCAGGGCGTAATGTAGTTGTTTATTAAGGAGAGAGCTTTGCACATCGTGATCATCAGTGTTCACACCTGTATGACAGAATGTTCTTTCAGTTTCAAAACCAAGAAAATTTGCAGGAATAAAGAAAAGCTAGCTGTGAGAGGAAAAATTGAAGAATAAGTATTTTCACAAAGTAACCCTAAATTAGTAATTTGAACATCAATGGGAAAAACGTTACTGGGAAAAACATTACTTCACACTGGTACTATCCAGGTGAATAGGATTTGCAAGGTTAATGGCATACACAACTTGTCTATGCATAATTAATGGTGAACTTTACTGGAATTGTTGTGGACCGTGTTATTTTCTTTGCTCTAGTGCACTATGGCACTGGTATAAGACTTCTTAATACTGGCTGGCTCAGCTGGTGAGCAGGTAAATAAGTACATGTACCCTAAAGCAACAGGCCATAGGACTGCAAGAAACACTGCTGATGCAGCATGTATCAGACCAGTGATGGACATACCAGGCTAGATGCTGATGGCTATAAATAAAATGGAAAAAAGGCATTTTTTAGATGTCTGAGGTAGAAGCAAAATTGCTAGACATCATGTAGAGGAATGCCTTCAAAAGTAGGGCAAAATGCCATAAGCCAAGAGATGTTCCAAAAATACCACAGTACGTGAGAAAAAAAAAAAAAGCTGATTATGCAAAAACAGTTCTTGTTTGAGTTCTCATGACATCTGTAATGTCTTCCAGCATTAACACCATTTCATCAATATTCTTGTCTGACAAATTTATAGTCCTGTAACCTGTTGTGGCAGCGCTGAGACTAAGCCCTCCAGAAATTGTGCATGAGAGCTGTATTTGGAAAGGGATGAGGAAGACAGTGTAAGAGAAAGCAGTGTAAAAGGTCAACTTTTTTTTTTCTATTACTGTTACTTTCAGATGAACATAAGTTTATGATGTTCTCTCCCTAAGCTCTGAGCCTTAACTTTAACACTACACTTTGCTTGAGGAATGTAACATTTTGACAGCTGGCGTGAAGCACCAAGTTTAAGCTGTGTCTTGGTTTCAGAGCCATGCATAAAATACATATTTCCTTGTATGAAATTTCTTGCCTTGAAGATGAAATGTTATTTGGACTGTCATTTATTTTCTTGTATTTATTAGAATCCATTTGCACTAACCTGATCTCAGTGTAGGTGTACAGAGCTTGTTGTAGCTGTATCTGAAAACTGGGTAGATTAGAGATGTGTTTGTTTACAATAGGCAATAGGAAACTGGTCCTAGGGAGAAATATCTCTGCTGCAGTTCGCAGTGTCTGACTTTGGTGTATTTGTTCACAATGGTGATTAGCATTTTAGGTTGGTATGAGTTTTTTGTGTGTTTGTTTTTGTTTCCTTTTTAGTTTATTGCCCAAGATTCTTCTGAATTCTTTTGACATTGAGATTTCTGTTGTTTCTTAATCTTGATGCTCTAAATACAGTGTAAAATTAACAAGGTGCTGTTGATATTATTTAAACAATGCAGGACTATGACAAAACTTTCATCTTGGGGTAATTTTCCTTCTTTTTTTTTTTTTTTTTTTCCTTAGCCTAAAATATATGAAGAGAGTTCTGGGTTTTGATTACCTTCTCTATCGACTTTTCTCTGCCTAAGTGCTTTGCTATTGGCATCTGTTCCTGAATTGGAGATGTAGGTACCGAGAGGGATCCATGAAGACATTTTTCTGCCTTGGGCCTCCCTATCCTATCTGGTATCTACCACTGATTCTTTACAGACAAATTGGAATACAAAAGTTATTTTTACAAAAGGGTGCCACAAGCATTTGGTGTCAGAAGTCTGGAGCTGAGTTCTGACTCCCACGACCTGTGTCAGACCTTCTGAAACAGAAATATTGCCAACCTTTGCAGAATAGTTTGATGGATTCTCTTGCTATGTACATGCTGGCATCCCTGGTGTATTTCAGGTTGTTAAGAGTGAGGATTTTTTAACATACACTTCATTTTCCTTGTAGCTGTTCCAAGCAATTAGTGTTTACACATTCTCTCACCAACTGACTGATCTGTGTATGGGTTTGAGAACCAAATTCTGTTGACTGAAAGGGATGAAAGCATTGCCACCAGCTAATGAAAATGAGCAGGTAGTTTTCTGGAAACTGGTTAGATCTGTTTTCCCTTGTCATAGGATTTTCCTAATGGGAGACATGAAATTCCTTAAAACAATACGTAGTGCTATATCCCGGATACTGTTTAACTGGTATTCATCTGTCATATAGTAAAGTAGTTAAATACCACATATGAGCTATGAGTTTGAGGTAATTGCTAAACTGTTGCAACCAAAACAGTTGTTTGTTAACAAAGCAGTTTCTGTATGGTTGTACTGTTAATCCTAGGCTTTTAAGCTTGAGGGTAGGGTGTAGTTTGTTTTTTGTTGTTGTTGTTTAGAAATAGTTGGGAATGAGGTTTGTTTGTATCTATGCAGTTCTCTGCTGCTGCTTAACTCGCTTTGTCAGCTCCCCAGGGTACAAGGGCAGATGTGTGTCTCTGCAATCCTCCAGGCCAGGTAGGATGAGCCACATCCAAGCCACAGCCAAGCATAGTGGTCTCCTGCTGTTCTGATGTGCTCCTGTCATGCTCCTGGTGTTGGTTGCAGGCTTTGAGTGTTTTTCCTCCCATTAGGCTGATCCCAAAGGATGGCACTGGATTAAACATCAATTTTTGCAGATGCTCTTTCTGGCTGTATGTCTCCTACACTCCCGTGCATTGTCAGCAAAGTGGTTTGCAGGTTTCCCAGCCTGTTCCTCATTAAACCATTCTGCTTTCTTTAAATCAGCTATTTACATTGCTAAATGAAGTTGGCTGAATTTAACTGAAGTGGATTAGGAATTATTCAGGAAAATGGTGTGAGCTTTAGCAGAAGGGCAGTTATGAGAAACTATCTTAAATTTCTTTTCCTGATCACAAAGCAGCCACACTTGTACAGTCTTAACTGATAGTAAAACCTGTGGAAAGGAGCAGTCAGCATGGTACATCAAGCTGAAGATTGTTTTCACCTTCTTCAACACTGTGCTTGGCAGTGGTGCTGCGAGCCTGCTCAGACACAGTCAAAGCTTTAGCCTTCTCCAGTCGAGCCCATCCAAAAATATTTGAAGGCTCTGCACTGACTCTCAGGCATCTCTTATGCTTATGGTGCTGTGAGAATCACTGCAGAGGGTTCTCCAGGACATGTGAAGACTTGCTGTTAAGTAGTTGAACTGTGAGTTTTTGCTCTGAAAAGCCACATGTACATTATATAGAGTATGAATTTTTAAAGTGTTATGCACATATTAAAATCACAATGCTAGCAATGCCCTTTGGATTCAAGTATTTGAAGGAATTGTGCCCTACAGCTTGTACTCTGTGCTTGAAAACAGCAGGGCAGGGTTGTGGTCCTGTACAGCTCAGTTCTACCATTGCACCCACCAACTTTAAAATGCAGTGAACTGCAATGCTAAGAGCTCAGCACAAGATGTTTTTGCATAATGGCCATTGTGGTAATCCTCACTCTGTTCAAATTTGTGCAATAAAAATACCAAGCTTACTACACTGAAGGGAAATATTTTGTGAGATATTTGAGGGCTTGTATGAAGTTGTAATGAATTAATATGCTGGTAGTGCCTTTGAGATGGAAATTCATCTTTGTTTTATTTTATTGCTGTAAGCAGCAGGAGATATCTAGATTAAATTTTATGCTGTTCAGAACTATCACTTTCATACCTTTGAGAACTCAAGTGCCTTTTAATGATTATTAAATCAGAATGATAATGCAATTGTTTTATATATATTAAAAATTTAAAAAAGCATATAGTTTCGTAGCCAGCATTGCCTTAAACTTCCATTAAAATAATTGTGAAATATTTAATTATTTTTCCATTCTAAATCTGTCATCTTTTTAATGTATTATGTTCTTTTGGTCCTTAAAGATGTTTTGTAATCATTTTTAAAATAAAATATTAGTAAATAAGTTTCTTGTTTCTACTGCTAATGATTCTGTATCAGTATGTAGTTCTCCCAGAACAAACCATAGGAAATAACATCATTCTTTGTTCCTGGTTTGGAGGAAGGAGCTTGCATTGTGTTTGCCTGTTACTGGGGAAGAGTGTCCAACTTGCAAATCTGCAAAGCTGGATGTTTTTAGTGGAAGCTTCCAGGAAGAAAGGTCCAATAAGGTCAGTACTGTTCCATGGATAGGGTCTAACCAAGCTAGTCAATGACAGACTTCACACCTATTATGGCCTAAGAGTTACTGCAACAAGTGTAATTCAAGTGCTGGTTTCCTGCTGTCTTGATTAGTTGGAGATGAGAAATGAGAGGTAAACTTGTTAAAGGAAGGAACACAAATAAACATAAGGTGTCATGAGCAAATTGTATCTTTTGGTGTAGAAGAATGCAGATGACTGAGCTACCAGGTTGAGGAGGAGTCACTGGATCCTTTAGAAATGTTTGTCTGATTGTTGGTGGCTTGGGTATGGAAAAGGAAATAATAAACTTGCATGCTTTCTGGCTGGGTAACTTTTTTTTTTTATAATCAGGTTGCTTCTTGCCTATTCATCTTTGGAGCAGGAAGAGAATTGCACTTTTTTATCCTCTATACTGAAATTGGAGTAATGCACCATATTTTTCTTTATATCATTTATTAAATGTGAAATTC